AAGCCCACGTGCCTAGAGCCCATGCTCTGCAACAAGAGAAGCCACTGTAATGGGAAGTTCACGTACCACAACAAAGAGTAGCCCCACTTGCCTCAACTAGAGAAAGCCCACACGCAGCAACAAAGACCCCACGCAGCCAAACAAACAAAAAAAAAGACTCTGTGCTTCCACTGCAGGGGGCATGGGTTCGATCCCCGGTTGGGGAGCTAAGATCCCACATGCCGCACAGCACGGACAAAAAAATGAAAAAAAAAAAAAAAACTGTCCTTCTACTTTCCCTCATAATTTGAACTAAAAAGATAAAGTATTCTCTGAAGTGAGAAATCCTTTTTTTTTTTTTTTTTTTTTTTTTTTTGGTGTTCTGATTTTTTTTCTTAATATTAATAGTCGCCATGAGGAGTGGAAAGCTATCAGGCAGGATGGCTTAATATCCAATCATCAATGAGTAAGAGAATCTTAGACCAGGAAGGGACCATCTACGCTGGCCTTGGGCTTTGAGCTTCCAGAACAGTGAGAAATAAACTTCTGTTGTTTATAAGCCACCTAGTTTATGACACTTTGTTAAAGAAGCCCAAACTAAGACATGCACGAAAATGGAAGACTCAAGCTTGACCATCTAACCTTAGTAAGAACTTATTCTACAACATCGATCTATGCCAAGTAGTCATTTAGCCTCTACTTAAATACTTTACTCCGCAAGACTACATCCAAAGAGTAAGTCATTCTGTTTTCAAATGACAAATTTTTAGACTCAAGTCAATTTTTAAAAACTTTTTAAGAAACTTCAGCCAATAATCAAATGATACACACTTAATCTGACATGAATTCAACCCTCAAGAATCACACAAAACTTGTATTAAGCTGAAACTCACCCACTTGTTAATTTCTCCTCATTGGTCCCAGTTTCCACTGGCCTCTTGGAACCAAACTAACCAAACAATCCCTGTGTTGCTTGACAACTCATCAAACATTTGAAGTAGCTTAAAATATATTAAACTGAGGTAAAAGAAAGTTATGCATCAGACTATATACACACACACACACGCTCACGTATGCAAAAAATTACAAGATAATCTCCTGTCTCGTAATGATGAGGATTTAGCTTCTGAAAGAACTTTATTTAGGAAATTAAGGACCTTCTTAAACATTACAGACTGAAGGAACTAAGGGCAATAGAATTCATTTTTCCCTGAGCAACTATAACCTAACTTTTATATCCAAAGCACCTTGCAGAGGTGCTAATTGAAAGTAATTACTAAATGAAAAGTAAAAGTCAATGAATGAGATCTTACTGTGTATCACATAATATGCTAAAGTATTACAGATACAGTATTATCTCATAAAATCCTCAACTATTTTATGTGGTTAGTTAGCACCATAATCCTTATTTTACCTCTGAGCAACCTGAGGTCAGAAAGATTAAGTAACTTGCTCAAGGTCAACAATTAGTAAACAATGAAGGTGGAATTCTCACTGAGGAAATTTGGCTCCCAACATTTCTCTTAACCATATGGCCATACTGCTTCTTGGTCATAAATAAAAGTACACATAATTTATCCGAAAGGAGTTAAGAAATTTTTCAATTATTCCTGAAAGAAATTAATTCAGTACCAGCATTAAAATTTCTAAATTAGGAATAAAACTCTCACAGAAAAAAAATTTCAAGAAAAAAAAATACGATGACTAGAAAAAGACAACAGATGCTAACTAAGAAATGTCCTTAAATATTTCTCTACCTTGTCAGATTGTTCTGTTTGAGCCTGGCACGCTAAAGGAATTTAAAAGGAATTAGGGACTTCCCTGGTGGCGCAGAGGTTAAGGGTCCGCCTGCCAATGCAGGGGACACGGATTCAAGCCCTGGTCCAGGAGGATCTCACATGCCACAGAGCAACTAAGCCCATGGGCCACAACTACTGAGCCTGCGCTCTAGAGCCCGCGAGCCACAACTACTGAAGCCCGCGCACCTGGAGCCCGTGCTCCACAACAAAAGAAGCCACTGCAGTGAGATGCCTGCACACCGCGACGAAGAGTAGCCCCCGCTCGCTGCAACTAAAGAAAGCCCACGTGCAGCAACAAAGACCCAACGCAACCAAAAATAAATAAATTTATAAAAAAATTAAAAATAAAAGGAATTTAAACGTTTTCCTTGTTCTTGAACTTAAATTAAAATCTCTTACACATAACTTCTCCAGGCTCATCATAATCAAACAGAATACAAAAACAAAATATAAATTTTCTCTTCTTTGTAATCATATAAGTTTTAAGATACATACTTCAATACTTTTTCTACATTTTGTACATCTTTAAATCAGTATCTTAAAAGATAATATCTCTCTTAAGAGATAATGCTAAAAAGACTCCAACAGGGGTCATTCATTACACTTTGATCTTTCAGAGGAGGTGGTAATTAAAACCACTTATATATGCTTTATTTGTATCATTTTTAAAAATAGTACTTTACTTCAGTTAGAGAGTAGACAGATTCCCTCAGTAAATTTAACAAGCATACTCTATAATTATTTTCAAATACCATGGTCTGATATCTTTCACCAAATAATGTTATAAAAGCTGATTTACCCAAAAACAAACAAAAAAAACCCGATTTACAAAAAACTGGAGGTAATCTACTGTTTCTCAGTATAGTGGAGCATATTACTTTTAAATGAATTTTTGAAGCCATTAAGTAAGACCAAAATGCAGTATGTGTATATCATATAAACTTTTTTGAATTAAGTATGCTACCCAATAATTATAGCTTTTAAAGTTTCACATAGCATATACAAGGACAACACTTATATAAATCCAAGGTCAAATCACTTAACTACTTTGAATATTTTTACCATATGTCTAAAGTTGCTGGGAGGGAGAAAGGAGAAGAGAAAGGAAGGAAATGAAGGGAATGACAAGGGATAGAAAATCTGAGGCCAGAATATAAGGTTCATGAAATGACTTGAAATCATGTAGCTCAATTCTCTAAATTCATAAAAGAAGGGAACTGAGGACTAGAGAAACTTGGTGACTTGGGCAAAAGCAGCAAATTAGTTTTTTAAAAGTGGGGCTTATTCCAATGACGCTGACAGTGCAGCTTTTAAGAACATCTTTAGAATATGGCATCAGAGTCAGATCACACTGATAGAAAGAATCAAGGACCACGACCAAAAAAAGGAAAAAAACCAAAACAAAACCAAAAAACCCAAACAAACACCACGAAAGTCAGACACCCCTTCCATGTCCTCTTCAAAACAAATATTAGGGCTATTTTTGTCGTCAACCAAACTTCAATACACCTGCCATTCCCTTTATTAGTAGTCAGCTACAAGGTCCTGGACATTCAAATTTAGTGACACCATTCCAGGCTCTTCCTGGCTTAGGCTGGCATGTTCTCATGTATAGTTCATACTCCTGAAGTAAATGGAAGACACTTGGTGACTTCTTACAAGTCTTGACCTTTTTCTGTGCTTCCATAACACAAGCATCAGAGCACTTACTATTTGCATCCTTCCTATGACAATTATGACATTTCTCTTGTTAAACTTTTAGCATCTCAAACTGATATGTTACTTTCTACATGTTTATTTCATGTTCCCTGAACAAGAATGTGAGGTCTTTGAAGGCAAGCACTCTCCAGGGCTTCACACTTATCTTCTGTTCCCTTTTCTACAGAATATGCTGTTGTTTCTCTGATTATTGATCAGCAAACAGAAGTTTCTTCAAAGCTATTTCGGTTAGAATATCTCTTAAGGAATGGATGTATAACTCTACTTCTTTAAGATGAGTTATACAGAACATAAAAAACTACACTTACTCAAATATGATGGAGAAAGAAAGGTCTAGCTGACTTTTCACTAATAGGAGTTCTTAATCTGAGGTTCAGAGAGAGAATTCAGTGATCTGCTGAATCTGGATGGGAAACTTCTTACTAACCTCTACGTGAGATTTAGCAATTCCTTCAATTAAGATTATAGGTAACAAACCACAGTAGGATTAGAAATATCTATGAATTTGTCATTAATAAACATCACAGGTATTTTCACATTACATTACAATTACTGCAAACTCATCATTATTCAAAATTGCAGTACTTAGCAGAATTGTCACTAAAGCTTATTCTCTAATGTGAGAAGCATATATAATACTCTAACAAAAATTTGCATTTTTAATATTTGTTAACTACATTTCAATACTAACTGGTTTCCTTTTTAAATCTATGCATTTTACTTCATAAAATCATGGATTATTATTAGAATTCATGGAACAAAAAAATGGTTGAGAACTCCTGCACTGTAGCACAGAGAGTAGCTGAGATGATTACAATTCCAAAGGACTACTATGATAACTGTCGTTATCAGTTCTAATAAAATGACAGGCAAGTTTTGAAATATAAATATCTGTTTATAATTAGAAAGAACACAGAGACTTTAAGCTGATCATTTTCACTTGAAGAACACAAAGTATGTCTATAGAAAAATTACATTTTCAAATACCTATTAACTTGTTATAATTAAAACAATTACAGGATTATAAATGGTTAGGTACTCAGGACCCTTTAACGGTAATTATTTTTTTGTTGTGGTTGTGTTCTTTACTTTCAAGACTTTATAAAAGGACCAAAAGCCATTATAGGTAGAAGTGTCTTTCCTTCTAGCTAGCTTTCAAATATATATATACATTTTATTTTTAACTACTACAATTATGGCTTAGACATTTTTTGATCAATTATACTGGTGACAGCTAAAATGACTTAAAAAGGAATTCAAAGAAAAACACATACCTCTCCTATTGAAAGGAAGCTGCAAAAAAAACTTCTAATTAATCTATATTACTTCCCATTCTAAGCCAGAAACTAAACAATATAGGGTATTTCCTACAGACATTTTTAGCAGTTCAGTATTATATACAGAACATGTTCCTTAAATTATATTTAGTCAATATAGTTTTTTATTTAAATCATAACTTTTCATTTGTATTTGGATAATCATTTCCCCGAAAGACATATTTACCTTCAGCCAGTGCTGGTGATTCTGTTCTTGTCCCTCTATCTGTTTAAAGAAAGAAAAAAGGAAGAAAGTCTAAAACATTATTATAATTTAAAACAAGTTTTAATTTTATGAAAACTAACTTTAACAACAAAGTTCATCAATGCTATCACATACCACATGCATGAGCCATATATTTCTCCCCTTGGATTAACTCAACAACTATTTATGGAGGACTTACTAAGAGTGAGGCATTATCTTAAGCCCTGAGAAATACCAATAGGTGATAACACCCTAGTTGTCACCCTCAAGATATTAAAAGACAAGCAGGTGTACCAAGAAAAGTACACAGTTCTCATCATAGCTTATGAAGCAAGAGATAACAAAAGAAAAAAAATGAGTAATTCTTCTTTATTCACATACCAAGAGAAAAAATTAGTAATTCCTCTTTATTCTTGTAAAATTATCAAAAGAGGCATATTTCTATATTCTTATCACAGTTTAAGTTGTTTCAATGTATTAAAAAATCAGTTTTATTACAGGCACTAAGATCCTTATATTCCATGACAATAACCTATTATAAGCCAGAGGCACATTGGCAAAACTCACCGAACCACAAAGTCCTCTCTAGGACTGGTTTTACTTTTTCAAAGCCTTATTAAACAATTTTAGGTGAAATGAAATTTTCAGAATGAGTTTACTCTAACTTTGCAACTAAGAACAAAGCCAGATAACAAACTAGCTTAATTCACAGAGTGAGGAGATACATTTGACTAATGTAACTAATCACCTTTATGTGAAATTTTCTTCCCCTAATTATTTATCTTATATAACCCAAGAGTCCTGGATTAACAAATATAACAAAAATTTCTATGTATAAAAGATTGGTAACATCTTGAGGGAACTGGGCACTGTCATCCAAGCAGGTAAGTGATCTGACACAGTCTTCCCAAGGCCAAAATGTGGCACTGTGTCTCTGACAGATTAAAAAAAAAAACAAAACAAGAGTCCAGGAACCAAAAGATGAAAAGTAGACTGGCAACCTTAGGCTCCACTGGGTTAAAAATTCTGATTCTGCAGGAGAAGGGGAGGCGCTTCAGTCAGGAGCTACAGGAAGAATTCCAAAGCAATAATCAAATGGGAGAGGAATGAGGGGACGTGGCAGCGCGGGGCGGCGGGGGGGGGGGTCCTGTAGACTGACCCTAACAACCACGAGGACTTATGGCTGCTGCTACACAACAGGCACAGGAGAGAGGGTATCGCGAACCTAGGGGATTCGACTGAGGCTGCCATGCCCAGGGATAACTGGAAATGGGCAGCTACAGCAACTATGGCCCGACAAGGATAAAGTCACTACAGGCACTGATCCCTTGGGGAAGAAAATCTGGGTCACTCTACCAGCAGAATGGATCAGCCTGTTGAACTGCTGGCTGAAGGTGAGGAAAATCTAGAATAAGCAGTGGACTGAAATAATGAACGTTATTCCACTAACCCTCCTGCTATAAGTCTGATGTAGAGACTGTGGCCAGCCACCACCTTGAAAGCTTCGCAGTAAAGGGCAAGCATTCAATGGAGGGTACAAGAGGGTGGGCTGTATGGGACACCTCTCACGCTCTGCCTCACATCTGCACTCCAGCTGAGGCACCTCCCCTTAGCTGCTTGCTGCACTGGTAGGGCTCACTTCCCGCTCAAAGGCTTTGCAATAAGAGATACCTAATGGAACTCTTCGGCCATCCTGAGTCATAATGAACCTGGAAGCATGAAGGTGTTAATACCAACACGCTGGGCAACCCCTAACCGATGGGGGGATGAGGTCTGGTAGATAAATACCTTCTTCTTCCCACCAAAAGGCATATTCTTCATGTCTTCTGAGGGCTTCCTAAGGATCAAGCCCCAGCTGCTCACAGAAGTGACCAGGTCAATAATACACCCTTAGATTGACTTTACTTCTCTGTATCACGTGCCCTAGTTCTCCAACTTCTGTTTCTTGTTAATATTTCCCCAAATAAATCACCTGCCTAAAAAGTCCCTGTCTCAGGCTCTGCTTTGGGGGTGAAGCCAGGTCTAGACACTGGTCCTTCAGGATACCACACCTCCTTCCTTTCTGTCCCACCTCACTGGATGCTCCTTCATCTCCTTTGCTGAACTCTTCTCTAAAATCCCTGAATGCTGACATGTCCCAGGGCTCAGTCCCAGGTTCTCCACTCTCTTTGTGACCTCATCCCACCTCAGACTTTCTGGATCATCTATATAGCTCAAATTTATTTATCCAATCCAGACATTTCTCTCCACCTCCGCACTCTCATAGCACTGCCTACTCAATATTTCCACTAGGATGTTTTAACAGAGACCTCAAACTTAACATGTTCAAAACTGAACTCCATCTCACTCCCCAAACGTGACCTACCTGCAGTCTCCCTCATCTCAGTTGATGGCACTTCTGTCCGTACAACTGCTCAGGTAAAAACCTTGGATTCCTCTGCAGCTACTCTTTCTCATACATCCCATATTCAACTCAAACTCTCACTACCTAAAATCTTCATGGCTACTATTCTATCTCCTGTTTACTCAATGTTGAAGGTTCAGCGGCATTAGCAGTATTAGATCTACTATTACTTCTGTATTCAAGTGCCTCTAGAACAGGCGTTGCAAAGTTAGATGCTGAGACCATGTTAGAAACGCTAAGTGGGGCTTAATATCTACAGAGTGCCACAGCTATTAACATGCCAGATTGAAAATACAGGTGATCGATCCAATGCAAAGTACTCATATAAAACAATTTTTAGATGTCATAAAGTAATTAAATAAGTTTTGGAAACACTCAGTAGGCAAAAGAAACAGTCTGAGGGCTATATTTGGTTGATGAACCATCAGTTTACAACTTCTGCTCTAGAACTCTGTATTGTCTATAATTGATATAGTATTAATCCTTAATCTTTTACTTTCCTCCATCAGTTAGGAGATGAATGGGAGTTATTTATATTCAAAGCCTAACCGCTCTGGTTTTCCTCAAAAGCTCCTCTTGGATCAATGCTACTACAAATGGAATGAATAAACACATTTTTGCTTTTTCTGCCAAAGGAAAACTTCCTTCCCTAAGACCCAATGCAGCCACCCAGAAATAAAACAAGTGGCTTGGCTGGCCACTTGCATAAACCACAGGAGAAAAACCAGTGCCACTTACATAAAACCATGGGGAAAAAGTTCCATTGATTCTAATTTTTAATAAATCAAGAAATAATAGAACACTTGTAACTGTTTTCACCCTTAGAAATCAAATGTCAGGTCCTAAGTAATGAATATTAGATAATATGTAAATTAGATAATCCAAGCATCTAAAATCTTTAAACCTAGAGGTTCCTCAAGTGTTAAAATTTCTCTGCCTCCAGCAAAACATAAGAGTTATGACTTCAGAGCACTGTCAGCCACATTTACAGCTTTCCAATATTTTGAATGATGGTAAATAAATCTAACTGCATTAAATAAATGGTGTTGAAATAATCCCATGAAAAAATGAGATACAACCTTCTCAACCTAGATTGCATTCCTCCTTCACTTGGGTACATGATAAAATCTAATTGAATTCAATTTGTTTAAGCTCCCCTTAACATACACAAAGCAATTTAAAAAGCCATCTTAGAAACAGAAAAGAGCACTTGAAATAAAGGGCCTATTGACCATGTTTGCAGATCAGACAATACTACAAAAGTGCATTATTACATAATTCCAACAAATATCTGATTAAGTTTTAAATTTGAGAACTTGAAAAGGTTATTCTATATCTATTTGAGAAAAAAGAAACATGCAAATCTACAAAAATTTTTTTGAAAGACAGAAGAACAGGTGAGATGGACTCATCCTACTCATTAATAATTAAAACATTGTGGAACTGGTATAGATATATAGTGAGGGGAAGAGAACAGACATCAGAATAGGCCCAACTGTATATAAATGTAAAACAAAAAAACACCACCAAATATTTATCAGAAAGTCTATTTATGTATACAGCACCAAAATAGATACCCTACGAGATACTATGATGAAAAAGACAGTGCTCTCTAAAAATGTCTAGTCTTACTATAGCAATTTAAATGTTCAAGGTAAAAATGAGTAGCATGAGTAACAGCTACATACAGTGCCGTGGCAATTACAAAATTCCAGCTAGGAAATCAGGTATTAGAAAAGATTTTATGAAGCTATGGAGCTCTGGTAGCTAAAGTAGATTCTGAAGAATGAATAGCATCTGGACAAGAAGGTAAAAAGTACAAAGAGAACATTCCATGTGAGGAATGTATAAAGTAGTCATCACAGGGCAATGAAGAAAGAAAACTTTATTTAATAAGCTGTGCTGAAATAATTCCATGAAAAACTAAGATACAACCTTCTCAGCCTACATATTCTAGATAGAGAAGAGTTTAATTTCTTAAAGCTAACTCTCAAAAAATAGAAAATAATACCTTACTTATCTTTAGACGAATAACTTGAAGCACTATAAGAAATTTAAAATGGAGAGAATCAATCATATAAAAATTTAACATAAAGGAAATCTAAAATGTTTTAATAGTTCATGTAAATATACACAAAATCACATCAAGAGAGGAAAAGATTATCATGGTAATTTGTATGAGAAAGCAAAACAGTAAACACATATATGAAAAAATGTATATTCCCTAATAATAAAAAGGAAATATAAGCAAAGTGGTTTATAACACTGATTCTGGAATGAGACAAACCTGGGCTGAGTTTCCACTTATTTAAATTATTAGGTTATCTGTAAAATGTTATCTGAGCATCAGTTTCATTTATCTGTAAAATAGCAAAAATAATCTTAAAGATTGTGTGAAGATTAATGGAAATGACAGTTTTGTTGAACATAATCACTATTTTTCTCATTTAATATTAAAACTACAACAATATACACATATCTATTTTGATATTCTATCTCGAGTACACTATACTTAAAAGTATCCATGTCTAAGACACAGCAGAAAAATACATGAATACAAATCTCAGGCTTCTATGTCATCCTACACCATAATTACTACCACAAAGCTGGTTTCATT